GTGCTGCACCAGTAGAAGCATCGCGGGCCTGCTGGCCGTTCACAGCCGTTTGTTCGCTGTTGCCTGCGCCTGGGCCGCTCCTCGGCCGCGAATGCTCCGCCGCCCGCGTCTGCGGCTTCAGCACCTTTGCCTTCAAGTCTGGCCCGTTCCTCGCTCGCGGATGCTCCTAAGCCCACGTCTTCGGCTACAGCGCCTTCGCCGTCGGGTGCGCCCCGGGGGCCGCCAAGATGCGCGGAGTGTTTGAGGCGCGTGGAAGTGCTCACGTTCCACGCCCCGCTGGAGTGCTGAGTATGTGATCGCCGTGCACGGCGAGCCGCATGGTGCCAGGCTTGTCGGTGGACCTGGTGCTTGGATTGCGACCTCGGTCATCTTGGCCCGTCTGCGCGTGAGGGTCGGTGGTCTGAAGATGAGAGCGGGTCTGATTTGTCTGAAGTGAAGACTGAGTGGGTCCGATACGTTGCAGTGTCAGTTGCGTCGTCGTGTTGTCCCTCTTCCCTTGCGTGCCCCCCTCCCTCGCCTGCCCTGTGCCCCCCCCCGTTGTGCCCCTCTTCGTGGTGTGTTGTGGTGTCTTCCTCTTCGTCGTCTCTTCCTAGACAACATCTGGCAGACATTTTCAGTTGACAGAACATCTAACTTTTGTCGCCCGTCCGGGGCTCCCATCTTGGGGGGGGGCGTCCATAACCCGTGCATCTACGTGCGCGCACCGCGGGTCGCACATGCGGCGCACTCTTGGTTCTGATACGTACAGGTTTAGAATTACCATCCCAACCCGAGTCCCGCTGCAGGTCCAGTGCAGTGTTTCCCATCATCCTTTTCCGCCTCCTCCCACCTCCACGGGGTTTAGGGTTTAGGTTTTAGGGTTTAGGGCCCACTAGCCCAAACTTGAAGCCTGTGGGACGTGCCCCACCCAGCCATGACCCAAGATGTCAAAACGACGACGACGATACCGATGACGAAGATGACGATATGGATTTCAAAACGACGACGACGACGACGACGACAGTCGCGCAAAGTCTTCTGGGAAACCGCTGCAACGGCGATGCGGCACGCGCGCGCGACGACGCGATTTGAAGAACAACGTATATTTACGCGAGTCCCTGTGCGTCGCAGGGGCGCCGCCCCGCGGCGGTGAGATTGCATGGAGCGGCTGCGCAACGAGCGCAGGGTAGCTCGGGAGTTAAATGCTTCTAGGCTCTTAGTTTTGAAGTTAGAGCCTATAAATATTTGAATCCTGAAGCTCCTTAACCACCTCCTTCCGCGCTCCCCACTTTGCCGCCCCCCACTTTGGCGCACCCCTCACGCAGATCCTTGGCCTCGGGGCGCCAGGAATGGCGCTATGGGAAGATCTGCAGAACCCAGGGCGCACCCCTCGCGCGGGCGAGCGGGCGGCAGCGGTGCCCCAGGCGGAGTGGGTCTCGCGTGCGCAGCGCAGCGGATTTTGCCATTGGGGCAAGCCCGTCGCGGCGCCCCCAGGCGCCAGCGAGTCAGGGCGCGCGGTGCAGCGCGGCGCGCGCGCCAGCTGCGAGGCCGCCGCGGCCCAGCCTCGCTCCGGCACCGCGAAGTACTACGCGACGCCGGGCCGGCGTCGCCGGCTGCGAGCGATTTGCCCGTCTTACGACGCGAGCGCCGGGACGTTCCGCGCGGCGGCGGGCGACGAGGGAGCGGCCCAGCGGTGCGTTTTTGAGCTGACGGAAGAGGAGGCCGCTTCGCTGCCAATCATCGACTTGCAGTGCGACTACACCTCTGTGCGGGGCGGCCACTCCATGCAATCTCACCGCCGCTGGGCGGCGTCCCTGCGACGCACAGGGAATCGCGTAAATATACGTTGTTCTTCAAATCGCGTCGTCGCGCGCGCGCGTGCAGTCTCCTCCGTCCTGCTCCCTCCTCCCCCCAGCTGCGAGGCAACCGGTCGGACGAATGCCTGCCATCAGCCAAGGCGCGCTGGAACGGTCCCCATCACCTTGTGATGTCGCGTCGCGAGGAGGCTCTGGACACACAGTCCACGGGGTCTGTCCGTCAGACGGCCGTCTCGAGCCCCGTGAGCCCCGCGGGCGGCTCTGGCGACAGGGAGCCCTCCCTGGGTTTGCCCCAACAGGCTCTCCAGATGTTGTGGACAGAGCGTTGCATTCGAGATCGCCGCCTGCAGGGCCCCGCCCTGAGTTGCCCTGGGCGCCAGGGTTGGCAATCGCCCACAGCATCATGCATTGCCTTGGGAGTCGGGGTTGCCCGTCGACCCCAGGGCCCCACTACAGTCGGGGCCCTGAAGAAGGAACCCTTTTCGTTGGGGAGGGGCTCCGTGTTCCTTAAGTGTTTCACAGCTTGCCTCAGGCTTCCCTTATGTTTTCGACAGGAAATCGAAGGTTAACTGATTGAAAAAAGGGGCCTCGTTCCTTATTTAGGGTTCCTTAGGTCAACGCCCCGACTGTATGAGGCCCCTGCACTTCCAGTCTGGTCTGGCCGTGCTTGCTCAGGGCCTGCGTGGGGCGATCGGTGAGGCTGACCATTCGCTGGCCAGAAGTGTGCCATCCCGCACCTGCAGCCATGCCTCAGTTGAGCCTGGCTGTGGTTGGGGCCCCGCGTGGTGCTACGAGATGCGCACCGCAGGGCAGTTCAAATTCAAGGGCGCCAACTGGCATACATATATATATATGTGCATTTATGTATACATACACATACATATACATACATATACATACATACATACATACATACATACATACATACATACATACATACATACATACAAACAAACATACATACATACATACATACATACATGCATACATACATGTATACATATATATATATATATACATACATACATACATACATGCATGCATGCATGCATGCGTACATATATACATACATATATACATACATACATACATACATACATACATACATACATACATACATACATACATATATACATACATACATACATACATACATACATACATACATACATGCATGCATACATACATACATACATACATACATACATACATACATACATGCATACAGACAGACAGACAGACAGACAGACAGACAGACAGACAATACATACATACATACATACATACACACATACATACATACATATTATATTATAGATGTGTATGTATATATATATATATATATTCCGAATCTTAAATGTTCATTACCAGGACCCCCCCCTAAACCGGACCCCCCCCCCCCAGGACACCCCAGACGCCCCCGCCCTCGACCCAACGAACGCCCTGGACGCCCTTTCGGAGTCCCGGCGGCCTTCCGGGCAGTTGGACGCCCCTGCCGATCGGAGCCCACGGGCTCAAAACGGGCCCCATGACGGCCCATCAGCGCTCACAGAGGACCCAATATCGTTTCAAGACGGCCCACGAGGCCCCCAAGACGGTCCAAGAGGCCCCAAAAGGGACCCCCAAGAGCAACAAATCGTCCCATTCCCTGAGGAAACGTACGCTTTTGAAGATATTAGCTTTGTCCGCTTTCGCAACGTCCACGGCATCCCCAGAGACTCTGAAGATCGCCCCAGGACGGCCTCCGAGGCCTTATGAGCGGCCCAAGGCGGCCCAAAAGAGCTCCAAGACGGATCAAGAGAAGCCCAAGGCGGCCCAAGAGGGGCCCCAGAGGGCCCCGAGAACTCCCAAGAGAGCCCCAAGAGAGCCACAGGAGGCCCCCAAGAGTGTCCCAAGAGGGCCCCAAAAAAGCCCCTGGCCCGCCCCGCCTCCCAAAACGGCCACAAGAGGGTTCCGGGACGGCCCAAGAGGGTTCCAAGACGGCCCAAAACAGCCCCAACAGGAGTCCTCTGGTCCGGAGAGTCCCCAGGAGGTCAAACGCGAGCCCACACCGTTCCAATATAGTTTCCAGCAGTTCCCTTACACTCCACGATGCCGTAGTTCGCAGGACGGTGGTTCGAAAGGATTTCAGAAGCCCCACAGGCGTCCAGGACCCCTCCTGGCATTCAGGAAGCGACCAATCGTCGTCGCCGCCGCCGTCGTCGTCGTCGTCCTACGGAGGAGCAGGAGGTTTCGGCATGTAATCGCGGGCTGCCGCCTCATGACTGCGTAGCCCGCTTACTGACGCCCCGAGCGCTCTCTCCCGCGGCCTGCCCGAGAGGAGGAGCAGGAGGAAGCGGAGGAAGAGGAGGAGGAGGAGCAGGAGGAGAAGGGGGAGGAGGCAAAGGAAGAAGTGGGCTGCCGCCCTCCAGCCCCGTACCTGTTCCACCGTTTATTTAATCGCTTCGCTCAATCCGCCGGCCCTGGAGCCCTCTTTGGGGCCTCTCGGGGGCCTCTTGGGGACCTCTTGGGAGTCTCTTGGGGCTCCTTGGCGGCGTCTTGGGGGCCCCCAGGGCCTCTTGGGGGGCTCTTGTGGGCCTCTTGGGGCGGGAGGGGAGGTAGTAGTCGATTGCGGCTCCCGCCTCGGAGGCCACGATCCTCGTGAGGGGTGTCGAAAATTGCCCCGTGCAGGGTCTCCTGCCGGGACTTGCCCGGGGTATTTTTCGCCCGGGGACCCCCGGGGGCCGCCCCGCGCGTGCGAACTCTAAATATTGTTGACCAGTTACCGGAGATCTTAGCACGTCTCTGGCCCGTTGGGCCGGCGAATTTTGTCATTGTTGTAAAATATGATGGCGTGTCGTCGTCGTTGTCGTCGTCGTCGCCGTCGTCTTCGTCGTCGGCGTTGTCGATGTCATGGGGACGAGTGGTTCGCACCCGAAGACAGGTGCCATCGCAACCTTTTGATGCTTCGTCGTGTGCCAGCACATTCGCACGTGAAAAAATCACCCTTCCTTCCCCACTTCTGCGCACAGGCGTGCAAGCCCATCGGGCGAACGCAATGTTAGCAAGGTCCAGGGACAGCTGAAAAATGAGCCAGTCGCCCGTCCAGACCTCGACGCCCCCTCTGCTGAAACACGCGATGATCTATTATTTGTTTCCGAGAAGCGTCCGGAACAAGGCGCATGGCGCGAAACGCCAATGCAGTCTTGTATATATATATATATATATATATGCAGTTGTGTCTCCCGGGGGCTCGGTTGGGGGCCTTGTAAAAGAGTAAGAGGCGTGCACCGCATGGTCTGAGAAGCGTCAACCACCACACGCGAATGTGCCTCTTTAGGGTTTGGCTGGGGCTCCAGCTGGAAGGAGGGGGCCTTCACCGCACGATCTACTTGAAGTGCGCGTTGCAGTCGCAACTCGGCATTTGACTCTGTAGGGGGAAGAGACGGAATGGAGGGAGGAACTGGGTTCGGGTGTTGCTAGAAGTGCCCCTGGCCCAAGGTGCCCCCAGGATTTCCAAGGAGGCCCCCACGGCCTCCAGAGCACCCCTCACGAGGCCTAGAGGGCCCCAGGGGTGCCAAAATTGAGCGAAAAGCTGGGGGTACCTCGGGCCAGGGGCACCTTTGGCAACCCCCGATGGGTGGGGGGAAGGATGGAAGGAACCAGCGCCGCGGTGCTCGAAACAGGGTCCCGACTACAAGCGTTGAGAAATTGAGCGACGACGTGCGTCAAGAGTTTGGGCTCCCATGTCTTACCTGTTGCGTTGCATGCTGAGTTCGGCTGAGTGCTGCGCTTGTTCAGCATGGGGTCACCCTGGCCTGGCAAGCGGCACTGGATCCACGACGCTCGCCGTCTGCCCAGCCACGGCGGGAGTGTGCCAGGGGAGCTGCGTGGAGGTGGCGGCGAGGAGCGAGGGAACGGAATGAGAGGAAGGGGGGGGAACGGGTCTGAGGAGAACGGAGCCAGAAAAACAGGCGGGGTGGCAGGCCGCCCCCGCAAGTCGGGCAGCCCGCGCTGTAGCCCTCGGACATGAAGAGGTCGCGACCGCAGGCGGACTCTAGCATGAGCCGCAGGCGGTGATTAGGGCCCCCGTCCGACTGGCCCAGCGGAGGGGGGCGCCGCGGCGATAGGTGCCGAGGCCGCCCCAAGCGCGCGAAGGAAGGAAGAAAGGAGTGAGGAAAGGGATCGACGATAAAACGATCAAGAATCCAAGTCTGGTTGCAGGGCCCAGGACATGGTCCACGGCAGGCCGCAGGCTCGGGGAGGCCCACTGGATGGGCGGATCAAGGACACGGAAGGCAGAAGCGGGAGCAGCACCTTCAGCTCGGCAGTGAGAAGGGGAGATGTGAGTGATGGAGAGAGAGGAGGGCTGCCCCCGTACGACGTCGCAATGTTTACCCGACGTGGGCCCCCATGGAATACCGACACCCCTCCAGGGCCTGGGGCTGGATTTTCACCCCGAGCCGTTGTGTCGAGAGTCCTGGGGCCGGGAAGCGGCCTCCAGAAGCCGAAGAAAAGGTATGTGTATGCGACGCCCCGAACCGAGGGCAGAGGGGAGCAAGTCTGGCCGCATAGGGGGGAGGGCGGACGAGGAAGAGAAGCGCCAGAAGAAGCGTAAGAAGATGGGGGAGAGGAGTCGCAAGCAGGAGGAGGAGGCGCGAGGAGGAGGAGGAGGAGGAGGAGGAGGAGGAGGAGGAGGAGGGGGAGCGAGGAGGAGGAGGAGGAGGAGGAGGAGGAGGAGGAGGAGGAGGAGGAGGAGGCGGTGGGCCGACGAGGCACGGCACCGGCGGCGCCTCGCCGCTGCCCTGGCGGCCCTGCTCGTCGCGGCGGTGGCCGCGACGGGGGCGAGCGACCAGTGCAGGCCACCGCCCGCGCGCGAGCGGGCCAGCGGGAGGCCCCGGGCTCGGAGGAGGGCCAGCTCAGTCGGGAGCCACGAGTGCGAGCCCGTGGATGTCGAGCGGGCAGTTTACTCCCCCTCCTCCTCCTCCTCGTCCTCCTCCTCCTCCTCGTCCTCCTCCTCCTCCTCCGCCTTCTCCTCCGCCTCCTCCTCCTCCTCCGCCTCCTCCTCCTCCGCGAGCCTCGCGACGGGGGTCAATGCAAACGGGGGTCAGCCAGAGCGCCGGATCCTGCAGGATCCTGCAGGGCCTGGGTCGCATTGACCCCGGCTTGGGTGCAGGATCCTGCAGGATCTTGCAGGATCCTTCGCATTGACCGGGGTTTGGGTGCAGGATTTTGCAGGATTTTGCAAGGTCTGACTTACCCGGGTCTGGATTGACCCGAGTCAGCAGGGCTCCGGTTGAGGCAACGGCATCGGAGGCTGCCAGAAAGGTTCGTTGGACAAGGTTTGGTTGGCTACAGTAAAACGACGCGGAGATCGGGACAACATCGGATCGGGATGACTCGAAGTCTCTGAGAATCGGCGGGTTTGGAGCATGTATTGGGCGCCGCAGCCGCTCCAGAGCGTTCCGGAACGCTCCGAGAGCGCTCCGGAACGCTCTGGGGCGATTTATCCCGATCCTAGCCCTGTTTTATACAGTCAAGACGCCGAAATAAGGAACAGTTTGGGTTCGGAAGGGGCTCGATGTTCCTCAGGTTCCTTCAGTGCTGTTCTCCTCCTGCCCTCCCGGGGCCCGGAGGCGCATACAGGGCCAAGGAGGGGCTTCGTTCCTTGTTTTGCGTTCCTTCTTTCAGCAGCCCGACTGTATGTGTACGCGTGCGCGTGGCAAAGACATGAATGCAGGTCGAGCTCGCTGCGAAAGCCCACTCGGCCCAGCGCGAGAGCCTGATCGGCGACGTCCGAGCCAGCACTGGCGGCGATAGTTCGGCACCCCTCGCCCGGCTGGCTGATCGAAAACTCTTTGGCAGCCGTCAGGGCGTGGCCGGGCCAGAAGTCGAGCGGGGCGCCGCTGTAGCTGCCAGTCCCGATCTCCCTGTGGGCTGGGCGGGCAGCGTCTTGAACAAAGACACCAGGCGGAGGTTTTGCGCCGCTTCCGGCTGGCATTTTGCAAACTCTGGGACCGTCAAAAAGCTGTCTGGGTCGAAAAGTCTGCCCCCTGGACGGGGTTCAGAGGTCCGGGCGCCAGGTATCACGACGAGGTTTGGATTCAAGAACCTGCTCGGATGTTCTGGGCTTCTTCTGGCTGCCAGGGGGGCAGCGTAGGCCAGGTGTCGTGGGCCTTCGGCCTTCACGGCCTGAGGGAAGTGCTTGAAGGATGGTGGCAGGAAAGCGCAATTTCGTATTGCGTGGCGCAGAAGGAGTGTCAGGAAAGCTCCACTTCCCTGCATCGATCCGAGTCTGATGTGTTATGGCGATCTCTTAGATCTTAGACCTTAGACCTAACCTATGGGCGCCTTCAGCCATCGGTGTTGTCTCGAAGACGCGCCTTCGCTTTCTTATCGTACTGCGTCCCGCTTCTGGGATTGGGCTGCGCAGCCCCAGGCCGTCCCTGGTAAGCCGTCGGCCTGGCAGTGGCCGAGAACATCTTGCGGTTGGCGCGTGCCGCCCAGGATTTGCATGGCGGCGCACATGAGCGCACCGCGTCGGACTACATCGCCTGACCTGCCCGAGCAGCAGCGATACCACGTGCCAGGGGCACTGCTGGCCAGAGTCGGAGCAGCACACCGCACAGGCCCAGCGCCCCCCGGAGCGCAGCCGAGGGGCCCCATGCCGTGCCCAGGCCCTCGGCAGAGCGCGTGCGTGCCCGGCTCTTCGCGTGCCTCCTCTGGGCCGCCCTCGCAGACCCGCGCGACGGCCGACCGCGCCTCCGTCGACGGGCAACCACGACGCGGCATCGCTCGGGCGTGTGCATTTTTTTTCCTCCGGCGAGGACCATCGAGAAGCATCCAGGACCATCGAGCAAAAACAAAAAACGCACGAAACCCAAAAAATCTCGAGAAATGGACGTCCGAGCGACGGCAAGACGAGGCCGACCTCCGCCGTCGACCCTGGGAAAGGAAGTGCGGGGCGGAGGGCACGGGCAGTCCAGGGCTCGGGGCCGGGGGGGGGGGCCCCACGGGAGGCGGGCGCGGTGCTGGCCTTCCGACCAGCACCGCACCCCCCGTCGCCCCCGAAGCTCCCGCGCCGCGGCTGCCGGGCCCGGAAGACCAGCTCGGCTGCTGGGAGCCGGTCTGGCGGCGGGCGACACCCGCTCGTCACCACCCACCAAACCACCCCAACCCAACCCGAAGGCTCAGATTCACCCTCGATTTCCAGTGGGGGGGGGGGTCGCGGAACATCGAAGAAACACGCGTGGAACCCTTACCCCCCCCCAACCCGAAATTCGGGTCTTCGGGTTGGGTTAGGGTGGTCTGGTAGGTAGTCAGCTCGCGTCCAGACGGTCCGGGTTCGACGCGGTCTGCTGCCTCACCTCGTGTTCGGGCTCGCCCCCCACGGAGACGACAACGACGCCCACGGCGTCGCTTCGGATGTTCATCGGGGGCGTTCCGAGAGCTTCTCGTCGTCACGGCTGGACGCAGCGCGACAGCTCGATCAGCTCGACAGACTGGCCAGGACAGGATGGACCTGGGAAGGGTGCTGAAGTTCGCCCTGGGCGGCCGCTTCCCACTGGCCCTGCGGTTCTGGACGAGAGACAGGCCCCGGGGAAAAGCAAAGATACAAACCTCAAAAACCCTCGTGTTGAAACAATCCAGACATCGGGGAGTTGGCGCTGAGGAGGGGGAGGAGAAGGAGCAGGAGGAGGAGGAGGAGGAGGAGGAGGAGGAGGAGGAGCAGGAGGAGGAGGAGGGAGGAGGAGGGAGGATGAAAGGAGGAGAAAATCAGGAGGAGGAAAGGAGGAGGAGGACCTCCTCATCCTCCCTTCTCCCCCGTCCTGCCTCGACGCTGCCTGCCGCGGGCCAGGCTCTCCGCCCCCGAGGGAAGGCGGCGCCTCGGCGCCGTCTCCGGCGGGGATCGGCGCCCCCCGGGGCGTCGGGGCGAGGAGCGGCTCGGGCCTCGGGGCGCGGCCTGCCAGCACAGCGGATACCAGGGGACGTGCTCTGGGGATCTGGGGCCCAGATCCCAGTCATTGCTGCGCATCTTCTGATTATCTTCGAAGTGTGTTTCAACGCGCTCTTTCTCGACATCACAAAAAGCATGCTTTGAGTGCTCTGGGGATCTGGGGCCCAGATCCCACTACTTGTTATGCATCTTTGATGATTTTCGAAGTACTTTTCACTAGGCTCTGTCGACATCACAAAAAGTATGGTTTGACAAATCTGTCTGTAGGAGGACATGCGATGTCGGGCTCGGTCGCTGTGCTTCCCGGCTTGCGCGTTGCCAATTACATCGGCCCGTGGCCCGGACCTTTCGACTCGGCGCCTGCGCGTCCGCTTGCGCCCGCGAGGAAAAAAAGTCGGAGGACATGCCCAACATAAATCTGGGGCCATGCCGGCCCTCCGGCCCTGGAGCCTTCCAGGGTGGATGGGGGCACGTCTGGGGCTCCTGGGCTGTGCCCCCTCGGCCTCTCCGGGCGCTTCTCGCCGGGAGGGAGGAGAGAGGGCAGGCTGGTCGTTCCTCCGCTTGGGGCTCTGGGGGCCGCTTCGATCTCTGGGACCGCCATGCTCAGAGCAGGCTGCGCGCAGCTGGTTGGCCAAGCCCCGCTTGTTCGCCAGTCCACACTTGATCCGAAACGTCTGTGCAGCGAGGGGTGCAGGCGACGCGGCGGCCGTCTATCAGGAGGGAAAAAAAACACACAGACACAATTAATCGTCGATCCCCCAGAAAATATGGAAAATATGGGAAGTGGTGGGGAAGACAGAAACCCCAAAAATATGGGAAAAATATGGGGGGATCTTTTCATTTGTGTGTACTTATTTGTGTGTCCCAGGGCCCCTTCAGTCTAACATTCCTGTCTGCCTTTCTCCAAACAGCCGTCCAACGAGCGATGCAGGCAACTCGGCGGCCAAGTAGGCGTCCAGACATCCGCTCGTTTTGCAGCGTCGTTCTGCCATCCGGTCGTCGGTCTATCCGTTGGCCCGTTTGTCCGTCCACGTGTCCATCATCTGCACACCAAGGCCCCTTCAGCACCCATCCCGCTGGCCTGGCCGGCCCGCCGGCCGCATACATACATCCCTTGGAAGGTGTTCAGAGAGGTCCCTGGGGGCGCCTGGAGGTTTAAAACTTTAGAACACCAAGGGTCAAGCTTCGTTCCTCGATCCTTCCTCTTCACCCCCTGCCAACCTCAGGAGGAGGAGCAGCAGGGGAATGAGAAGAACGCGGAGGTGGAGGAGGAGGAGGAGGAAGATAATCACAAGGACGAGGGGAAGAAGGAAGGGTGTCCTTGTCATGATCGAAACACATGTTTCCATTATTTGTTTGATGCGCGTGCACGAGGAAATGAAAGAAAAAAAAAAAGGAGGAGGCGGCAAGTTGAGGAGGAGGAGGAGGAGGATTTGGCGGAGGTCGTCTCTCTCCCGTTTAGGAAAGGGGAGGAGGAGGAGGAGGAGGAGGAGGAGGAGGAGGAGGAGGAGGAGGAGGGGGAGGAGGAGGAGCAGGAGGAGGAGGAGGAGCAGGAGCAGGAGCAGGAGCAGAAGGAGGAGGAGGAGGAGGAGGAGGAGGAGGAGGAGGAGGAGGAGGGGGAGGGGGGAGGGGGAGGAGGAGGAGGAGAGGAGGAGGAGGAGGAGGGGCTGGATGGGGTGGCTCACAGGGCGGCGTTCGCATCCTCAGGCACAGATGCTTTGAGTGAGGCTGACCAGGCAGGAAAAGGCCCCCGCGACGGAACAGCCCCACACCGACGACTGCTTCCACGCGGGCAGGTCCATGGCCACCGCTCGTGCCAGGAAAGCCCGAGATTCTGGACGCCCGAAATGGGTACGGAAAGAATGGGTACAATGCCCAACAGCAGTTTTTTTCATTCTGAACAAGACTCGCTGTCCGCGCCGCCGCGGCCTGTGTCCATTCGAGACAGAGGGCCGCCTGCCCAACAGCGGCCGCTGTTGGTTTGGGACAACATTTGTTGTTGAGCATGGCACCTTTTCTTTCCGTACCCATTTCGGGCGTCCAAAGAGATGGAGGGGACAGCGGCCGTCCGGAGTGGGATGGGTCAGGAGAGAGTCCGCATCTCAGCTGCTGGGGGCGTCACCTTGACCTCCAGCCGCCGCCATCAGAACAGCGCGCGCTAAGCACCACTGCGGACCAGCAGGACCCTCCCTGGAGCATAGAGGGGACCCCCTGCCCGGCCCAACCTGACCGGCTTCGCACCCCGTTGTCGCAGCGCCCCTGCTGAAGAGAGGCCCTTCGGGGGGAGCGCGCAGCCTGGAGGGAGGGAGGGACGGACGGATGAGCGGAAGGAGGAGGATAAGAGGAATTCCCTTCCCTACCCGCCCCAGCCCGACACCCGCAACCCCCAGCAGAGGCCCGTCCGCACACGGTTTCGATCCCGTGAGCGGCCCCAAAAAGAGCTGAACCGATGCAGGAGTACCACACGGCACGTCTCCATGGAGGGCGCCCCCTGGACTCGGGGGCGCCCCTGGTCGGCGGCGCGCGCTGGGAAGGATTCCCCCCCGAGTTCCGGCCGAGAGCCTATGTCCGGATAGGCCCCTGCCGCGAAAGAAGCGCAGCCGAGAGGGACGGAGGAGAGAGAGAGAGAGAGGGAAAGAGAGAGAGAGAGAGAGACGGACGGACGGACGAGGGGCGAGCGGAAGGGGGAGGATATGAGGACCCCCCTCCCAGCCCACCCCAGCCAGCCACCCGCAACCCCCAGCACAGGCCTTGCTCGAATAGGGCCCTGCCGCGAAAAAGGCGCAGCCGAGAGGGAGGGAGGAGAAAGAGAGAGAGAGAGAGATCTAGGAAGAGAAGGAAAGAACTGGGGAGTAGGCAGTCACGCGGCGACCACCTTCGACCATAACCAAGCCTCCGCCCTGTCCACGGCCAGCGCGAGCGCGGCAACCTCCACATGGCTTGGCTGGTCCGGGGTAGAGTACGACATGGCCTCCACACACATCTTCTTCGACTCCAGTTGCGGTGCACCGCGGGCGCGCCCGAAATCCGCACGTCTCGACAGCCACGCACTCCAAGAACATGAAAAGTACGGCTCCTCGTGCGAATACCACAGAGGATACATGCTTCGGCTCGTGCGTTGGAGCGCTTGCCCTGCTCATGCCCCAGCACGGGGGCGCCCAGACGGAGACGCGACAGACTTCTGGCCCAACAGCAGGTCCGTCAAAAACCGGAAACGCAGGGAAAAATACAGCAACGGGAAAAGATGATAGCCAGCTGCCTGCCGCCAGCGCTCCTCTGAAGACCGTGCCAACCTGTCCTGGACCTTGGCCTTGGCACCGTCCTCTGTGCCTCGGGGGTGCTGCAGGGACCGGATCGGCCAGTCTGGAGTGCCCCGGGAGCTGCGGAGAGCTGAAGATGCCCCGGCCCGCGCGCGGCCGTCCCACTCGTCGGGGGCGGAAAAGAAGGGGGTGATGACTAGGGGGGGGTGGATATCATGGCGGGGGGCATGATATTTCCCCAGATTTCATGGCGCCTCTTCTTATTTCATTACGATCCTGGCCCCCCCGCTGGGCCGCGCACATGCCGCCGGTCATGATTGGCACCCCCCCCTCTTGGACACCCCCCTCTTGGCCGCTCCCGATCGTACGCACCTGGGACTGCGTCTCGGCACAGGTCCCCGTCAGGCAGGGCCCCCAAAGCCTGCGCTCCTGTAGGCCACGTCGCGCACCCGCCGCGCTGCCCCCGACGGGTGCCAGCCGATCTCGAGTCACCCCGGCGACTCTAACATGGGACCCCAGGAAGGGCCAATTGGAAGGAAAGCAGTCTCGGGGCGCGCCGAGGAACCCAGGGGGCCCGCTCCCCCGGAAGAGAGAAAAGAAATCCGTGGTGAGGGGTGCGGGCACGGGGGTTGCCCCCGCCTGGCATTCCGGAATGAGGAATGGACTCTCAGCCGCGGGGGTGTTGGCCCGCGGGGTCCCACCCCCCCAGCGCAACCAGAGCAGGAGAAGCGCGAGAGCCCGGATCCTAAAATGCAGCTCTGACAGTGGTTGTACTCGGAAGTTGTGCTAGTACTACGTGCGCGCTACTCCGTGTCTTATGTCCAGCATGATATACTGCTTCCTTTGGGGGAGGGAGGAGCGGGAGGAGGGAGGAGCGGGAGGAGGGAGGAGCGGGAGGAGCAGGAGGAGGGAGGAGCGGGAGGAGCGGGAGGAGGGAGGAGCGGGAGGAGGGAGAGGGAGGAGGGAGGAGGAGGGAGGAGGAGAGAGGAGGAGAGAGGGCGAGGGAGGAGGAGGAGGAGGACCAGCGTAAAACCAAGAGTCTTCAACGACGTTGGAATTAAATCCCTCCCTCCAAGGTCCCCCTTTCATGGACCCCCACAGCGGTTCATTTCCATTGAGGGAACTGCCTCGTTGGAAGACAACCGTTTGAAGATCCTGAAGCATGCCAAAGCATTCTCGGGATTTCAACGCCACGTATCAACCTGACTGCTGCGTCTTGACGATTTGGAATCGTGCCAGAGCGCAATTTGTGGGACTTCAACACCGCGAATCAACATAACTGTTGCACCCGCATAGTCCAGAGTCTTTCTAAAACATCATCTCTGGTACGTTGATCATGGGAATCCGTGAAACTCTTGCAAACTTGACAAACGGATGTGCGCGGCGCTGAGGCGAGAGCCACATTCTGAAAAGGAGCCGCCCTCAATCCGTGAAACGATTGCAAATGTTTGAAAAGAATGTGCGCGGCGCTGAGGCGAGAGCCACATGTTGAAAACGACCCGCCCTCAATCCGTGAAGCTCTTGCAAACTGTTAGAGCGACTGTGCGCGGCGCTACAGCGAGAGCCACATTTTGAAAACCACCCGCCCTAAATCCGTGAAGTTCCTTGCAAATGTTTAAAACGAATGTACGCGGCGCGAAGGCGAGAGCCACACTTTGAAAACGATCCGCCCTCAATCCGTGAAACGATTGCACTGTTTCAAACGAATGTGCTCGGCGCTAAGGCGAGAGCCACATTTTGAAAGCGACCCGCCCTCCATCTGTGAAACGGCTGTCCCTTCAAAGCTTCAGAGTCATCAATGGTTAGGAAGTCGCAGGCAAAACGCCCGGCTCGCCTAAAAACTGGCCTCGAAGTGCGACACAGAGGAGTTATCTATAAGGAGAAGGGATGGAGGAGCAGCAGCAGCAGGAGCAGGAGCAGGAGCAGGAGCAGAAGGAGGAGGAGGAGGAGGTGGAGAAGGAGGAGGGGGAGGGGGAGGCGGGGGAGGAGGGGGAGCAGGAGGAGGAGGAGGAGGAGGAGAAGGAGGGGGAGGAGGAGGAGGAGGAGGAGGAGGAGGAGGAGAGGAGGAGGAGGAGGAGGAGGAGGAGGAGGAGAAGGAGGAGGAGGAGGGAGGGGGGAGGAGGAGGAGGAGGAGGAGAGGAGGAGGAGGAGGAGGAGGAGGAGGAGGATAAGGAGGAGGGTGCACGAGAAGGGATCAAGCGGAGGGAGCAGGAGGTAGCAGGACGACGGAGGAGGTTGAGGACGAGGGCGGAGGAGGACATAGAAGGATGGAGGAGCATGAGGAGCATGAGGAGGAGAGAGGAGGAGTGAGTGAGTGAGTGAGTGAGTGAGTGGGTGGGTGAGTGAGTGGGTGGGTGAGTGAGGAGGAGGCGGAGGAGGGAGAAAGGGAAGGAGGGAGAAAGGAAAAGGAGGGAGAAAGGAGCAGCGAGGTTGGAAAGGGAGGAGGAGGAGGAGGAGGAGGAGGAGGAGAAGAGGAGGAGGAGGAGGAGGAGGAGTTGGGGTGAGGAGGAAGGATAGCGGGACGAAAAGGGGAGGAGGGAAGGAGGAAAGGGAGGGAAACACGGAGGGACGGAGGGAGGTAAGAGGACTTTGCCGCCCTCCCCTCGCCCTGCCCTCGCCCTCCCCTCGCCCTCCTGTGCTCGCCCTGCCGCCCTCCCCATCGCCAGGCACGGCAGCCCGTGCTTCTTTGCGGCCCTCCGGCGCACCCTGGCGCCCAGCGGGCCGCCGAGCGGCCCCCCCGACAGCGGGCTGCCCAGCTCGACGCCCGGCGACCTGGCGGCCCAGGGGGGGCGGGAGTGCTCGAGGAGGAGGGGGAGGAGGAGGAGGAGGAGGAGAAAAAGACGAACGTGCCCAGGAAGAGGCGCAGGAGGGAGGGGAGGGAGAGGGGGCAGCAACCCTGCCCTCCATCAGTCCGTCTTCCTCCTCTTCCTCCTCACGTTGCACGGACTCTGATCGTAGGATCGCAGTGTCCGCGCGGACCAGGATGCTACCGGCTTCGGCAAAGCCTGGCGACCCCCCCTGACCCCCTCCTTCTCCTCCGCCTCCTCCTCCTCCTGCTCCTCCTCCTCCTCCTTCTCCTTCTCCTCTCCTCTCCTCCTCCTGCTCCTCCTCCTCCTCCTCCCCCTCCTCCTCCTCCTCCCCCCTCCCCTCCTCCTCCTCCTCCTCCTCCTCCTGCTCCCCCTCTTGCTTCTCCTCCTCCTCCTCCTCCTCCTCCTCCTCCTCCTCCCTCCTCCTCCTCCTCCTCCTCCTCCATCCATTCCCACTATGTATGAATACCTTTCTCCCTGTCGCATCCCGAGGCCAGTTGGACGGGCTGGCCGGGCGTTTAGCCTGAGACTGCCTTGCCGCTTATGAGCCTGATCTTAAATCTGGCAAGACCTTGACGGATTGAGGGCGGATGGTTTTCAAAAAATTGTTCTCGTTTTAGCGTTGTGTTCATTGTTTCTAAATATCAGCAGGAGGTTAATTTGTTATCATGGTTATTGTAACGTACCAGAAGTGGTGTTTTTGAAACGATTCAGGATTGTCAGGGCGCATCAGTTTCGTTGATTCGCGGCATTGAAATTCCAGGAATGGTGTTCTGACACGATTCAGGATCGCCAAGACGCAACAGTCAGGTTAACTCGTGGCGTTGAAGTCCTGAGAGTGGCGTTTTGGCACGCTTCCATATTCTCACATGGTTGTCCCCTAAAGGGGCAATTCCCTCAGTTGAAATTATGCCTTGCAGGGGCCCATGAAGAGGGAGCTTGGATGGAGGGTGTATTCCGACATCGTTGATGAATCACTGGTCCTCCTCCTCCTGCTCCTTCTCTTCCTCCTCCTCAGGGCTAAGGGCTGACGGCATGTATGTCGATGGTTGGATGCGTTGACGCCACGGAAGGCGGTCGACCACGAAGTCGCTTGGTTGGCCCGTGTGATATGGGAGGGCCTCATCCCGTCCGTGGGTGCTGAAAATGGGTCCTCATCTGGCAGCCCTCCCCGCTGATCACCTCCCCGTCATCAACCGCCACTTCCCTCCTCCCGACTGCCGCGTCGCCTGCGACCGCTGCTCGCGGCATCGACGCCGCGGTGCTCTGCGGCAACTTCACCAGGTAGAGTTGAATGGCGGATTTATGTTTACGCTCTTCTCCTCCTGCTCCTCCCCCTCTTCATTATAAGTAACTCGCCGCTGGCGCACCACCAGACGTGTCCGCAGGTCAGGCAGGGAGTTTCGGCTGAGATTTGGTTACGAAGAACTTACGATCCCGAAGCTAGATATTCCAACTGCTGCAAGGATGCGACCAGCCCTGTTCAAAATGCGGGTCTCGCCTTGGCCCGGCGCGTTTTCGTTTTCATTGTCTTCAGCAGTCACACAGGTGGACGGGGTAGTTTTCAAAATGCGACTCTCGTTTGAGACGTCCTCGAATTCTACGTCCTCGACTTCTACGATCCGAAGTTCCACACTGCTCAACAGATACACTGATGGAGGGCGGCTTCTTTTCAAAATGAGGTTCTCGTTTCCAAATTGGCACGTGTGCTGACCAGATCTGTGAAATTGCGCACCAGTTTCATTCATCGCCCCTTCCTCGTTCCTCCATTACGTTCCTGCTTATCCTCGGCAAACTCTTGCTCCCCCTCTTCCATATCCTCCCACGTGCTTCTTTACCACGTATCTGCTGCTGTTCCTGTTTTCCCCTCCCCCGTCTTCCTGATCCGCTGTTCTCCGCCGAAGGCACTTGGCTGCACCCTCGAGGGGATGAGGGGGAACGGAGTGAGGCGACGAGGGCGGAGGTGGGAAGACAGGAACGGAAAACCAGGTTTGCGTCCCGAATCCCTCTGGTCAGCCACGAGACTCGAGCCGCCCCTGCTGGTGGGGCCCGCCACAGGGCAGCAGCCCATGCCCTGGACGCTCTTGTGCGCCTCCCACGCGCTCATTGCTCCGCCTCGGGGCTTTTCTTCCTTCGTGCGACCCTGGGGCCGCCCTGGGCTAATTTGGGGAGCCGTTTGGGGGCCTCTTTGGGGGGGCCCCTTGGGGACCTCTTGCGGTATCCTGGGGCAGACTGGTTGGCAGGCATAGCGCATTGAGTGAGCATCACAAGTCGTGTCGGCATGATCGCTCTCAGGTCAGCTTGATTGGGGTCTCTCAGATCTCATGAGTTAGCGTTGTTGGGCCCCCCTGGTTTCCAGGACAGCAGGAGCAGGTGCGACGCGTGCGACTGCCTGCAGCGAGGGTTGGGAAGCGGGTCCAGGAAAAACTGCAGAAATCCAGCCAGACAGCGCAGGGCGCATGAGCATGTCATGTCATCCCGCTGCGTGTGAAAGTGGCTGATCGGCTTTGTGCTGGAAGCCGCAGAGACCCATCGAAGACCAAAGATGCCAACCTGACGCGATCACATATCTGCGGGGAGAAACTAACCTAACCGATCGTTGCATCTAGCTCGGTTTCGGCTCCCTCGAGCTGACGGAGATCGCGATCAAACCCTAGCGGGTGCTCCAAAGTTCAAGCAGATCAGGGAGACATTTGCGCTGGGAGCGCGGCCGCCCTTCCCCAGCATATAACGCTGCAGAGCGAGCACGAGCCGGCGAATCAGAAAATTGTACGCCAATATCGGTTTGATGATCCCATTTGGACATTCATTGGCCGAGGGGGATTATGGAAAAAAGACGCGGAGGGAAAGGGGGCTTCGAGCGAAGTGGGAGGTGGCGCAGCTGAAGACGGGTACGCCCGTCGTCGTAGACATCACCGCCAAATGGTGCGGGCCTTGCAAAGTTATGGAGAAGGCTCCCCCGAGCGAGAACGAGAGCGCAATGAATGCGTACAGGATTTAGGGAGAGAGGCACCCCTTGTCCTTCGTGTTGCGTCGCAGCGCGAGATCGAAGTCTCGACGCTCAGGCCATAGTCCCGCGTAGGTCGAGTCGCACAGGGGAATTTGAAGTCCTTGTTTGACCCAATCGAAATCTTGCTCAGGAGCGACAGGCGGCGTGATACAGCATGACAGGGTAGCTTCTGGTGGGATCTGCGCACTCCACTCTGCGCATGTAAAGTGGATAGCATCGTGCCGGCAAGATCATGCAAGAGAGGGGGGGTAGCGGCTGCATTCGATCAACATGGACCATGTGCCCATGTCCGTAACACGAGTCTTTCATGGAATGATTAATGCTTGTGTCCCACTGCCAGTGAGCCGCTTGCCCCACACACATGCGGATTTAAGAATCCGGGATGGCTAGCACTCTTTCGCAATCCCCCCCCCCTCCATAAAAAATTGCTGGCGGGAGGGATGAGTATCCCAGGTCTCTTTGCGCCCTCCTCGTTCAGCCTGCCTCCCTGGCTCTGTGTAGAACCAGTCTCGACCCCTGTGTCGCAATCACATCGACTGGCTCGCCTGCCCCACACGGAAGCTGAGGCACGCCCACCTCAATGACGATGGATTTTGATGGGACGGGGTCCCAAAGGTGTCCGCCGTTTTCTGTCTCCAAGGGCCCTTCCTGGGTCCCGGGACCGCAAAACAAATGGTTGTTATGAAAATCCAGCCCTGGCAAGGAGACTTCACTGTATGATCTGGAATTTGAATTGCCTTTCTGTGGCTCGATGTGGTAAGCACGATCACCAACAATACAGGCCGCTGGTATGACTAGCAGCCAATTCAATATTTCCCCTTGGCGGCACAGTCGAAAAAAAAAAAAACAAAAAAGAAAAAAACAGCCCAGGCAGAGGCCCCAGTGTCCAAGGCCCGTTTCCCTCAGGGCCCCTTTCCTTCATGGCAGCGTACGTGCGCTTGCGGAGTTGCGCAGCGTGGCAGTTCTGGAGGGCAAGCGGCGCATCGTTTGCATCTCGTGGCCAACCCAGGTCAGGGTCCTGTCTGGTGATGGCCTCGCTCTTTCGCTCACCACGCGCCGAGCAGCGCTAGGATCGCTTTCCCAGTACGTTCAAACAGAGCTGTTGCACATCACTGCTGGCTGTTTCTCGTGCCAGCTCAGGCAGGACGAGGGGTGACCACAGGAGTCGTGTGTTATGTGGATGGGGTACACGGACAGGGCCAAGCTTGAGTATTGTGTTCGGGCGGAAGAGCAGTCACTCTAGGCGTTCTTGGCCCTTTGCTGGATTAGACTAAGCCCGACGGTTGGATGGTGCAGGGAGCACCGATTAGACATGTGCCGCCCCTGTCTTGCATCCGCAGTACAGTCAAGACGCTGACATAAGGAACAGTTTGGGTTCGGAAGGGGCTCGATGTTCCTTAGGTTCCTCCAGTGCTGTTCCTCTTGCCCTCCTTGGGCATGGAGGCGCTTAAAGGGCCAAGAAGGGGCTTCGTTCCTTATTCAGCGTTCCTTCTTTCAGAGGCCCGACTGTATCCCACACATCATGCTAAGTCCATGCCTTCCTCTGGCTATCATACTAGTTGCCTGTATTCACGCGTCGGGCCGCCATGCTTATATCTGTTGCACTCCCATATGCGAGACGATGGTCAGCTTGAGTAACAAGTACGCTGGGAAGGTTCTTGCCGCTCTCGGTGCAGCAGCCTGTGTTGTGTATTGGGCGTTCTCTTGCATGCATCAATTGGCGAACGAATCAAAATTATGTGCGTTCCTTGCACGGCGTCGCGGCGGCTCGTCCACAGAAGCATCAAGAGCCATTGCCAGCAGGACTCACATAGAGAGCGTCGTAATGACTCGCGTTGGCGTGATTCGATGTTGAAAGACGTACTGGGTGAATATAATGTTCGCGTTTCTTCGGAAGTCGTGCCCTTTGGGCTTCTGATTGGATGCGGCGAACAGGTTTGTATCAACATTTGAGCGCTGTCATGATCATTGTGTGCTTCCACCGCTGTTCACATACATAGCACGCGTTGCATGCGAATTGGAATTTAACCGGCACGCTCAATTGAAGACAGCCGCGCATTACGCTGTAACCCTGTACCCGCATGGCACATTGTTCGTGTAGGACCAGGGTGACTGGTTAGGTCGCTGGTGGTACAAATGGCACCACCGCGCAGTATCAACATGGTAGGTAGCTCGAGGGTGTAGTTGATTCCGTTGCAGTGCCAGTTTGCCGCCGTTGATTCTGGAGTGCGGTCGACACTCGCGGCAAGCATGGATACCCCTCGCAATACGACACATCGGCTCACCAGGGAAGCCCATCGCGGCCCGGAAGCATGTGCCTTCATGATCGTGGGCCGAGTCCTGATTGGGAGCGCTTTTGCTCGATCCTTAAGCAGCCGCGCGGCTGTCCCCTCGCCGCCGGGGAGCCCCATCCAGTCCAGCAGAAGCCTGCGCTATCAGAGTCGCCTGCGGCAAGTCGCCGCCGCGCCCTGCCTTTTGGCAGCGCTTGTGCCGTCATGCGTTGAGTGAAAGTGCGACCATGCCAGCGGGCTGCGTGTTCCCCCAGTTGCTGGGAAAACCGCTGGGGGAACAGCGCGGAGGGGCCCCCTAAAAGGTCGTCTTGGGGCCGCCCTGGGGATCTTGTCCGGCCTCGTGGGCCTTTTTTGGTAGCTTGCTGGTGTCCTCTTAGGTAAACTTGGGGTTCCTTGGGGTTGCCGTTGAGCGAACCATGCATGTTTCTTTCGAAAATGTTAAGGATAAGGAGAGAGAGAGAGAGAGAAGGAGGGATATAGACAGAGAGATAGAGAGAGTGACACAATTAATGGACAGAGTATGAACATAGGGATCCGCCGTCCCCGCCCTACCCCCAAGGGTGGCCAAGCGTGTGATATTTCAATGATTGGCTATACTTCTCCGCCTGCTCCCCCCTCTCCGTGGGTCCAACGTCACACCAAACAGGGAGGGTCATGCAGAGAAAAAGGGCCGACTCGTCAACGGAGTGGGGTGAATTTCGCAGAGGAGGCTGTGGGATGTTGAGTGCGGCGGTTCTGAGAAGATAGTGGGGACAAGCACCGTGATAGGTGGTGGCCGATGTGAGCCCGAAAGTGGCCGAACGGAGCCCCAGCGATGCCAATGTCGAGCAAATCAGGCTTATCGAGAGAACGACCGTCCATATTCATTTTTGCGCTTCATTTTTGCGCTCACAAACAAAAAAACTTGTATCATTGATTTGTTTCGCGATAGCGGCCGTTACCAGGCCCCCCTCCCCCGTAGCGTCACGAGTCGTGCCGGCGCCGTCTGGGAATGCTTCGGAGTAGCCAGGGAAGCGCGACTAGCCGGTACCTATTGGGAGTTGCTATTGCAGGGCGTGCGCAGTGCTATAGATATGCAAGGTCTTGCGATGCATAGCTGCGGATAGCTAAGCGCGACGTATGGAAGCGGTTTTGCTCCATCCTCTCCCTTCCCTCCTCCGCCTCCCCCTCCCTGTCTCCCTCCTCCTCCTCGTCCTCCTCCTCAGCCGCCGGCTCTGCTCAAGCCAACTTCTCTGCGGCTAGCAGGCACCCCGCGCAGGGCACTTCCGCCCCACCTGGGGCGCCTTCCATGTCATTCCAGCCTGGCTGGCCTCCATAGCTCACATATGCATGATCTGGATCATGCTGGTTCCCAGCTGGGGAGTCTACATCCCGTTGTTTGCCTCGCATCGCTGCCTCGAGACCCGCCATCAGTTCAGCGCAGCGGAAGTGCTCATATTGCCCGCGACGCGTTGGCTACAACACGATCTCAGCTCGGAGGCGGACTACCTTCAGTCGTTCAATCACACCGTCTACAGCAGGGGCCACGGACGCGGACCACACACCTACAGCCACGCGGGCGGGGCCATCACGGTCAACAGCATGATGCTCAGGCAGCGCACCATCGCCGAAGTCAAGAGCCCGTCCAAGCAGATTTCAGGAACAGCGCGGGCCATTCGCATCAAGCACGGCGAGCTCCACCTCACGCTCTTCGTTGCGTATCTCCCACCGAGGACACGACCCGCCACCGTACACAACCAGTGGGAGAAGCCGGTATACGTAACGCTCAACTGGATCAGCAGCGCCCTCAGTGCTGCGCCGACGAGAAGCACCCCGCACATGGCCTGGATCCGATCGACCTCTACGTAGGGGCAGGCCTCATCGCAGCAGAGATCAGCCATTTCTTCGGAGTTTCTCAGCCTGTCGGCCGACCAGGTGAAGCTGCCGTGGAAGTACATGGCAAGTGCCTTGTCTTCACGTGCTGGCCTGCTGGGCACACGTTTTTCGGGAGTGAGGGCCGCACGATGCGACTTGATTACCTCTTCATTCCCCAAGGGTTATTTTCGCATATTACCTCGTGTGGGATTCGGTGGCCAGCCGCCGCAGCAGCACAGCTCATCAAGATCAACGTGCCGCGAGACCTCGTCCCCCTCATCGACAGTGTAGAGACTACTAAGCCAAACACTTTCTCCGACAAGCAACTCACAGTTTGGGCGACTGAAATGATGGCAGAACCACTACATACAGGAGTTTTTCGTCACGCGTTCCATGCAGCATTGGAGACAGCCCTCACGAGCAACACCGACACAATACGAGCCCTCCATGCGCAGTGCACGACAGAGGCGCACTGGACCTTCTTGAGCGACATTCTCAAGTCCATGGCCAAGCATTTTTACCGAACACAAGAAGAACAAACACAGGTACCAGCCAGCAACGAATTGCGGAAGAGCTATAACTACTGAAGATGCGCGCAGTACTATGCAAGGGGTACATCGGTGTCTACACCATTGACCTGGACTTTAAAGAGAAGTTGGACATCCTCACGCGGGCCAGCACGAAGCAGCAGCAGCTCCACGAAGCTGAAAAGAAGAGAGCGTTCGAGGCAAGCAGATTCGCAGTTGGAGCAAAAACAGGATGTAGAAGTACACGGACTCTCCAAGTGCGTGAGTACGACAATCGGAACCGCAGTTGCAGCAAGGCGACTCGCTCGCGCCCCAGCATCCCCGAATGGACGCAGCACGTTGCTCAAGGGGTCGCTCATGGAGGACCTGCAACGCAACCCATCGGCCTCAGCGAGGACATGAGATTATTAAAGCACCGACGCCTCACCGAACATGTCCAGCAGCAGCTCGAGGCAGAGCACGAAACAGCAAGGCGTACATCGGGCAGCTCCTCAACGAGGCCAAGAAGCGCCTCAAGTACTTCAAGAAGCCCGCGTGCGTGACAGAACGGTCGCTCCCAGCAGACATTTCCCAGATCATCCTGCCGCCCGCGGTCATCGCAAAGAGGAAGCCGCAGACCCGGGGGTCTCGGTTTTTACGAGGAGTTGAACGAGGCACCGTGAACATGCTTAGTAGGCACCCTTGACCACGCGTACTAGGTCGGTTTCGCTCTGTTGAATGCCCACTACAGCCAGAGCTTCACGCCGGACAAGTTGAACGTTAAACCATCCGTACAAGGACAACGTATACTACAAAGGTAGTTCTTGCCAAGCGGGAAGGAGAAGCATACCAAGCCAAGGACGACCTCCAGCTCAAGAAGCTCCTGACACAGCTGAGCCAGCAGGTCGCGGCCAACACCCAGGAGCTGGCATTTCCAGCGGCGGCCACTCTCCACAGCGCAGAATAACACCATCCAGGCCCTCCAAACCAGCAGGAAGAACTACGCGGACCAGTGCACAGAGGCGGGGGGAAGGACATGCTGTAGGGCCACCAGAGGGGCAGATGTACATGATACAGCTTTGACCCTCTACTGCAGACGTGGGAGGCAAGACGCGGGCCATCCTCACGGAGCATGGGCAGTTCCTGGACAAGATCAATGCGCACCCGGTCCCGCGCACGGCCAAGCACTTCCGCATCGGCAAATGCTACGTCAGCAGCATGCTCAACTCCTTCCTCGAGCACGGGCCATGGACGGACGCGGAGTACGAGGAGGACGCCATGCAGGATCAGCTCAAATATTCACCCATCAAGGATATCTACTTCGAGCCCACCCTGCAGGCGGGGGCAGTGGCACAGGAGGCAAGGCGCCAGCGGAAGTCATGCAGGATGAGCAGTCCACAGGGCCTCCTCTTGTCGTCAGATTCCTTCCTGTTGCGTTGCAGAGCGGTTCGCTGCACAGCAACGTGCGCACCACATCGCTGGAGAGCACTGGGCCGTGTGGTGCCTTTGGAGGTCGCCTTGGGGGCCTCTCTGGGCGGTTTGTGGGCCGTCTTTGGGCCCTCAGCGCGGCCACGTGGGGAAGCTTCGCGGCTCCAGTGGGCCGTCTTGGGGACCTATCAGGGCCTATCTTGACGGTCTTGGGCTGTTTGGGAGGCTCCTTGGGCCGTCCCGGACGCCTTCAAGATCGAACATGCTTCATGTTTGTTCCATGGCTGGGGTCTCTTGGGGGCAACTGGAGTCATCTTGTACGCCGTTAAAGATCGTTTGAGAAAAAAACCAGACTGGCTGCCTTGACAACGAGTTGTTTTAATGGTCAGGTCGTTCCCCGCGGCTGGCGGGTTGGGCGGGGTGGACGAGAGTGTTGGTCAAAGTCTCTTGGACACTCCTGGTGGGGGATGCGTCGTTACTCTTAGCGTTTCGCGGACCATCCTGCAGCGATTCGGAGGGCACCTGGGGCCGTCGTGTGCGCCCTTACTAAACTAAACTAATCGGCGACTTCACGACTTTAGTAACTAAAGTTGTCGAATCGCCGATGTTCGAATCAAACACGCCCCGACGAGTAGTTCAGCGGCGCGGCGCGAAGCGTGCGAGGTGGACCTCCACATGGGCCACGATCCGAGTGAGCGGTGCGTTGGAATTGACATGCGGACGGAGAGCAGAGGCAGGGACAGAAGGACGAGGAGCAGGTGGTGGAGGAGGTGATGGAGGAGGAGGAGGAAGAGGAGGAGGAGGAGGTGGAGGAGGAGGAGGAGGAGGAGGAGCAGCTGGAAGGAGGAGACGCGCACGCACCGCGCACGCGCTGCGCACGCGGAGAGGGAAGCGAGGACCGCTTCGCCACAACAGAATAGCAGCGGGAAGCCTCGGCGGCGGGACCCGACCACGCGCGAGAGAGGGAGAAGACCAGCACCCACCTGCCTCGAACTTATCCCTATCCCTAAGACCTAAGATTGGCACGCCGAAAGGCGATGACGATCTCAGGGATGCGCCCTGAAAACTGAGGGAATCCCCAAGACTGGCATCGTGACGAGGCGATGCCCAGCTTAGGGGTAGGGATATGTTCCAGGCTGGTAAAGCACGGGGTGGATTCGCGTCGTGCCGACCGGCGGCGACCCCGCCGCCGGCGTTCAGCGTGGAGCGCCGTTGGCTTGGCATCGCTCGGACGTGTGCATTTTACTTCGGCGAGGACCATCGAGGAGCATCCTGGACCATCGAGCAAAAAAAACACGCACGAAACCCAAAAATGCACGGGAAATGGACGTCCGAGTGACGGCAAGTTGGCGACCCAGAAGCGGTCGATGCTGAACGATCCCACGTGTCGGAAGCGGCCGATCGTTCAGGGTTGAACGATCCCCGCGGTATCAGGAACCAACGTCGGGATCGGCACGACACGAGCTTGCCGCAGCACGGCGGGGCCAGCAGCATCCCACCGCGCCACAGAGCAAGAGGAGGCGTACGCCTCCTTGTATCCTGGTGTCCGGCACCGGGTGCTGTCCAGCCACGCCACTCTTGTGTTGGCAGAAGAGCCCCCCCACACACTGCTTCGGCGGTTCGAAAAGAGGGTACGGAGGAATGGGGTCCTAAGGACCAAGTGCCTCAAACAATATCAATCTACCCGTGGATCCCTTCCCATCATAGGACCCCATCCCTCAAGTCCCCATCTTTAAACCGCCAATTGTTTTTCTGCTAGAGCTCCAGGCCGTCCACAGGATGGGGAAGCCTCCTGGCACGGTGGGCGGATGCCCCCCCACCAGCTCCTGGCACGCGTGCTCGCCCTGCCTCCGGCGCCTGCCGCGAGGTCTCCGTCCTGAAGATCGACCTGGACAGCAGCCTGGATTTCGCGAAGAAGATGAACGTCCGCGTGCTGCCCACGGTGCTGTTCTTCAACGGCTCCCCGACGGAGCCCGTCCACGTGTTCAAGGCGGGCGCGGGGCACAGCCGGCTTGTCGCCCGAGCGCGGGGGGCGAAGAGGCTCGCTGTAGAGCGCACGGCCCCAGCTCGCGCACGGGTCGTTTGTAGCTCTGGCGCGCCTTCGGCTCCGCTCGCTCGCGGCGTGCAGGAGGAGCAGGAGGAGCAGGAGGAGGAGGAGGAGGAGGAGGAGGAGCAGGAGGAGCAGGAGGAGGAGGAGGAGCAGGAGGAGGAGCAGGAGCAGGAGGAGGGAGGAGGAGGAGGACGAGGAGGAGGAGAAGGAGGAACAGGGGATGGAGACACGGGAAAACACCCTCCGAGAGTCGAGGTACTCCACAATCCCCCGCTCTCGAGGGAGAGGAGGAGGAGGGAGAGGGGGTCCGTAGCCATGGGGGTCGGTAGCCATCTTGGCCAAAGTGTGCGACGCCCTTCGCTGTGTGCGGCGCCCTGCGCTTGTTTCGGCGCCCTGCGCTTGTTTCGGCAGCCTCTGCTTGTTCGGCGGCCTTCGCTTGGTTCGGCGCCCTTCGTGTTTGTCGGCGCCCTTCGCTTTGTTCGGCGCCCTTCGTGGTTTTTGTTTTCCGGCGCCCTTGGCATTATTCGGCGCCCTTTGATGTTTGTTGGCGGCTGTTGTTTTTGTCGTTGCCCTTCGTTGTTGTTTTTTTCTGCGGCCTTCGCATGTGTTCGGCATCCTTTGATTGTTTCGGCGCCCTTCGCTGTTTTCGGCGCCCTTCGCGTTTTTTGGCGGCCTTCGCTTTTTTCGGCGCCCTTCGTTTTTTTGTTCTACGCCCTTCGCTTGTTTCGGCAGCCTTCGTTTTTTTGTCGGCGCCCTTATTTTCTGTTCGGCGCCCTTCGCTTTTATCGGCTCCCTTCGCTGTTTGTTCGGCGCCCTTCGCTTTGTTCGGCACCCTTCGCTGTTGTCAGCGACCTTCGTCTTTCGTTTTTTCGGCAGCCCTCTTTTTTCAGCGGCTTTCGCGTTTTTGTCGGCGCCCTTTGTTTTCGTCGGCGTGCTCGATGTTCTTCGGCGCCGTTCGCTTTTTTCGGAGTCCTTCGCTTGTTTTCGACGCCCTTCGTTGTTGTTCGGTGCCCTTCGTTTTTTCGGCGCCCTTCGCTTTGTGGGCGCCTTCGCTTTTTCCGGCTGCCTGTGTGCTTTTTGTTCGGCGCCTTTCGTTTTTTTTTCTGCGGCCTTCGCGTTTGTTCGGCGGCCTTCTTTTTTTGGACGGCATTCGTTTTATTCGGTGTTCTTCGTTTTGTTCGTCGGCCTTCGCTGTTTTTGGCGCCCTTAATTTTTTGTTCGGCGGCGTTTGCTTATTGTTCCACGCCCTTTGCTGTTGTTTCGCGTCTGTCGCGTTTCCCGGCGCCCTTTGTTGCTTGTCGGCGATCTTCGTTTTTTCTGCGACTTTCGTTTTTGTCGGCGCTTTTCGCTTCTGTTGGCGCCCGTCGCTTTCTGCGGCGGCTTTCGCTTTTTTCGGCGCCCTTCGCGCTTGTCGGTGCCTTTCGTTTTTTGCGGCGGCCTTCGATTTTTCGGCGCCCTTCGCGTTTGTCGACGCCCTTCGTGTTTTTTTGTCGGCTGCCCTCTCTATGTTCGGCGCCCTTCGCATTATCGGCACCTTCGCTTTTTATCGGCACCCTTGGCCTTTTTCGGCTGCCTTTGCTTTGTTCGTCGCCCTTCGTCTTTTTCGGCAGCCTTCGTTGTTTGTTTCTACGCCCTTCGTTTTTTTTTCTGGCGGCCTTCGCTTTCTTCGGCGGCCTTCGCTTTTTTCGGCGCCCTTCGCTTTTGTCGGCTGCCTTAATTTTTGTTCGGCGCCCTTCGCTTTGTTCGGCGCCCTTCGCTTTTCCCGACGACCTTCGCATTTCTCGGCGCCCTTCGTTTTTTGTGCGTTGCGCCTTTCGCTTTTTGTTTTTCGCCCTTCGTTTAGTTTCGACGCCCTTCGCGTTTGTTGGCTGCCTTCGTTTGTGTTGTCGACGCCCTTCGTTTTGTGTTGTTCTGCGCCTTTCGCTTTTATCGGCGCCCTCCGCGTTTTTTCCTGCGCCCTTCGCTTTGTTCGGCGCACTATGGTTTTTGAGCGCGCTTCGCTTGTGTTTGCGACCTTCCCTTTTCTCGGCGGCCGTCGCTTTTTTTCGGCAGCCCTTCGCTGTGTTGGCGCCCTTCGCTTTTTTCAACGCCCTTCGCTGTTTTCGGCGCCCTTCGCTTTCCTCGGCGCTCTTTGCTTTTTTCGGCTGCCTTCGCTTTGTTCGGCTGCCTTCGTTTGTTTAGGCGAATTTCGCTTTCTTCGGCTACCCTCGCTTTTTTTTCGGCGACCGTCGCTTGTTCGGCGCTTTGCTTCTTTCGGCGCCCTTCGCTTATTTCTGGTTGCGTTTGCTTTCTTGTCGGCGTCCTTCGTTTTCTTTGCAACGCCCTTCGCTTTCTTCGGCGCCCTTCGCTTTGCTCGACGCCCTTCGCGTTTTGTCGACGCCCTTCGCTTTTTTCGGCGCCCTTCGCTTGTATCGGCGTGCTTCGTTTTTTTTTCTGGCACCTGTTCTTTTTGGTCAACGGGTTTCGCTTTTTTTCGGCTCGCTGTTGTTCTGCGCCCTTCGGTTTTTTTCTTCGCCCTTCGTTTTTTCCTGCGCCCTTCGCTTTCTTCGGCGCCCCTCACTTTTTTTCCGGCGGCTTTCGCGTTTTTGGGCGCTTTTCGTTGTTTTCGGCGCCCTCTGTTTTTTTCGGCGCCTTTCGCTTTTTTGTTCTGGTGTCCTGCGCTTTTTTCGGCGCCCCTCGCTTTTTTTTCCGGCGGCATTGCGTTTTTGGGCGCCTTTCGCTTTTTGTCGGCGCCCTTCGTTTTGTTGCGGTGCCCTCCGCTTTGTTCGGCGCCCCTCGATTTTGTCGGCACCCTTTGTTTTTGTTCAGCGCCTTTCGTTTTTTTTCTGCGCCCTTCGCTTTTTATCGGAGCCCTTCGCTTTTTGTCTTGGCGCCTTTCGCTTTTTGTTTCGACGCCCTTCGCTTTGTGTTCGACACCATTCGCTTTGTTTCGGCTGCCTTCGTTCTTTTGTCGGCGCCCTTCGTTTTTTGTTCGGCGCCATTCGCTTGTATCGGCGCCCTTCGCTTTTTTGGGCGCCCTTCGCTTTTTTCGGTGGCCTTTGTTTTTGTTCGGCGCCCGTCGTTTGTTTTTGCGCCCCTCGCTTTTTGTTCGGCGGCCTTCGCTTTTTGTTCGGCGCCCTTCGCTTTTTTTCGGCGCCCTTCGCTTTTGTTCGGCGGCCTTCGCTTTTTGTTCGGCGGCCTTCGTTGTTCTTTCCGCGCCCTTCGTTTCTTTTGGGGCGGCGCCCTTCGCTTTTTTTGCGCCCTTCGTTTTTGCTTGTTGCGCCCTTCGTTGTTTGTTTTGCACACCCTTCGCATTAATCTTCGTTGGCCTTCGTTTTTGTCGCTTTGTTTGCCCCTTCCATTTTTTTCGCTGGCATTCGTTGGCCTTTGTTTGGCCTTCATTGGTCTTCGTTGGCCTTCGTTTTGCCCTTTGCTTCTGCCCCTTTCACATTTGTCATTGACCCTCGCTTTTTTGCTTGGCGGCCTTCGCTTCTTGTCGGCGCGAGGCCGTGGCCGTGTGCGCCCTCGCCGCCACCGGCTCGCCTCCCCCGGTGCCAGATGCCGTCTTCCTTCAGAGCCACGCCGCCGTCGCGGAGGCCTCCCAACCTCAGGAGGGAAAAAACACACAGACACAATCAAGCGTCGATCCCCCCGGAAAATGTGGAAAACTGTGGGAAGTGGGGGGAGGACAGAAACCCAGAAGATATGGGGAAATATGGGGAATCCGTTTATTTGTGTGTACTTCTTTGCGTGTCCCAGGGCCCCTTCACAACCGTCCTTCGCCAATTCAGCCAGGGCCTCCTGCTGCCGGGCTGGCGAGAGGTGCGTCTCAGCGCACTCCAAGATCGGAAACTCATCGAAAGGCTCCGAGGTGAACCTGCTCGCCTGCGGGCCCCACTTCCCCACGCTCGAGAATCGGGGGAGCGTAAGACCCGGGTTTGCCAGGACTCGGGTTCGCCATCGTTTTTTGACGACCGCGCTTCGGATTTTGACGAGGAGGAGTTTCGTGGGACGTCTGCCGCGGGAGGCCTCGTCAAAATGCAGGCTCGGCCTCGTCATTTTTTTGACGACATCGTCGGGGATTTCCGAGTCCCCTGTACCCAGGTCTTACGTCCCCCTGAGAGAAGCACACCGTGGGCCCCTTCCTCCTCCACCCTCGCGGGACGCCTCTCGGCCCACCGGCGGCCGCCGAGGCAAAGGGCGGAGGTCTCGCCTCCGCACCCTGTCTTACCCCCGCCGCCCGCCGCGACCAGCAGCGCCGCCAGCAGGAGGAGGAGGATCAGGAGGAAAAAAAAAACACAGACACAATTAATCCTCGATTCCCAGAAAATATGGAAAAATATGGGAAGTGGGGGCGAAGACAAAAAACCCTAAAATATGGGAAAATATGGGGGATATTTTTATTTGTGTGTATTTATTTGTGTCCTGGGGCCCCTTCAGAGGAGCATCTTCAGCAGCGGCCGCAGGCGCTTGCGCACCACCTGCCCTCTGCTCCGCAGCCTTGGCATATTCGTCGCGGGCCTGGGCCTTTGATCTCCTCGGTGGGTGCCCCGCGCTCTGCGGCCTCCTCGGGGGGGCAGCTCCGCGGGCTCCTCCTCGGCAGCCTCCTCGGGCGCTTCCGCAACACCTTCGGCACCAGGGGGGGCCCTGCCCCAGCAGCCGGACTCCCGCGCGCACCGCCGTCGTCGGCACGCCGCTTCTCGGCGCAGCGCTCTTGCCCCATCTCGACATCCTCCAGCATGGCCTCGAGTTTGGTCTCCTTCTCGCGCTGGAGCTCCAGCACCCGGGCCTGCTCTGCAGCGATGGCCTGCTCCTGGGCAGCGCGCCGCTGCCCGCGGGCCTGCGCCGCCTGCTCGAGCTGCTGGAAAGCCGCCTGCTGCTGCTGCTGCTGCTGCTGCTGCTGCTGCTGCTGCTGCTGCTGCTGCTGCTGCTGCTGCTGCTGTTCCCGCGTCGCCCTCTCGGCACGGTGGCCCTTGAGCGTCTGGCGGTGGCCTGCATCGCAATCGTCGAGGTTGCCCAAAAGGGCGGGATCGAGCTTGCACTCCACCGGTTTGGGCGGCGGCGTGGGCGCCTTTGCCGCCGGCGCCAAGGATCGGGGGCGGAAAACAGGGGGGTGATGGCTAGGGGGGGGGGATCTCATGGCGTGGGCCATGATATTTCCCCAGACTTCATGGCGCCCCTTCTCATTTCATTACGTCCCTGGCCCCCGCTGGGCCGCACACATGCCGGCGGTCATGATTTGCACCCCCCCCTCTTGGACACCCCCTCTTCCTCCTCCTCCTCCTCCTCCTCCTCCCTCCTCCTCCTCCTCCTCCTCCTCTCCTCCTCCTCCTCCTCCTCCTCCTCCTCCTCCTCCTCCTCCTCCCCCCTCCTCCTCCGCCTCCTCTTCCTTCTCCCCCTCTTGACCGCTCCCGAAAGGACTCGGCCGCCGCCGCCGCAGCCTTCTTCTCCTCGAGGCGAGCGCCGGCCGGCGCCAGCACCCGCTCGTCCACCGTCGCGCAGCCACGCGGTCGAGCTTCTCGCGACCGGCCTCCGCGTCGCGGCACCCCTGGTTTCGGTGCTCGTTTCGGGGACCTTCCTGGAGCCCACCTAACGGATCTGTTCGACCCCAGTTCGACTCAAGTTCGACTCAAGTTCGACTCAGGTTCGACTCAGGTTCGACTCAGGTTCGACTCAGGGTCGACCCAAGTCGACTGACGATCGACGTAGCTTCGACGCACGAGTGGAGCGAGTGGCTCCAGGAAGGTCCCCAGAACGAGCATCCAACCTGGTTGAGGCTCTTCCTCCACCTTGGCCAGCGCGGTGGCGGCTCGCTGCAGGCGCTCCGCGGGCGAGATGGGCTCGACGAGCGGTGTGGCGGGCTACAGTCGGGCCGCTGAAGAAGGAACCCTTTTCGTTGGGGAGGGGCTCCGCGTTCCTTCAGTGTTTTTCACAGCTTGCCTCAGGTTTTCCTCAGGTTTTCGATGGGAAATCGAAGGTTAACTTATGGAAAAAAGAGGCCTCGTTCCTTATTTAGGGTTCCTTAGGTCAACGCCCCGACTGTGCGCCTGGTTGAGGCTCTTCTCCATCTTGGCTTACGCGTTGACGGCTCGCTGCAGGCGCTCCGCAGGCGGGATGGGCTTGACGACCCGTGTGGCGGGCGAGGTTTGAAGAACGACTCGAAGGCGAAGGTGGTGGTGGAGCCGGACTTGGGCGGCCACGCCGTTTCGCCGCCGCCACCGTCGGAGCCCACCTTCGGCCACTGCCGCTCGTCCCAGACGCGCCGCGGCGGTACCTCCCCCTCCGACCATGCGAGGAGCTCCCTGCCGCACGTCCCGCAGAAGCCATCCTGCTTTCGCAGCTCCCAGTCGTGGACCCAGTTCTTGCACCTGCCGCACACCGTGTGCTTGCCACGCAGACGGCCCTCGCCGTCCATCCTGACACACTGTTCACTAACTCAAAGCAGACGCCCAATCCCAAAAACGCGGGGGCCAAGACAAAACGCAGACACCTCGAGACTTCGGGGAGGGAGATTTTGGGGTAGGGTTTTACCAGGGTGACGACGGCGAACGCAAGACATACCCCGAAATCTTTGGCCGATCTTCGAATCCTCGGCGAACCCGCGATTTTGGGATTGGGGATGTGTTTTTTCGTGGTCAACTGTGGTCAAGCGTTCGCTGGGGCCCCACGCTCGACAGGAGCTCACAAGAGGCGTCCGCACGCGCTGGCGCACGGATCCAGACCCGGGCGAACGAGCGTCGAAAGCTTTGGAGAGGCAGGCCGCGGACGGGCGGTGACCGGTATCCCCCTTCTGCTTGGAGGCCTGCAGCCTCCCGGACGAGCTTTTAGAGTCCAAATGGCTACGGAGGGGAGGGGGAGGAGGAGAAGGAGAAGGAGGAAGAGGAGCAGGAGGAGGAGGAGCAACAGGAGGAGCAGCAGTAGGGGAAGGGGGGAAGTCCAGGCCTCCCGAACGGGATCCGAGCAGGTGGGATTGGAGACTCGCGCCGCATCGCCGATGCACCGGCGACGCGGCTCGATGTGGGGCCCGATCTGTGCCACGCCGATGCATCGCCGATGATCGCCGACGCCGTCGATGCATCGGCGGTGTCTCGGTCCTGCGTTGCGGTCCCCCGGGCCCATCTGCTCGGACCCAGTTTGGGAGGCCTCCAGCAAGGGGGGGGGGGCACGGGGAAGCGCGTATTGGCCAGAGAGGCCGCAGGAGCCCGCCCCTCGCGCGCGCGGCAGGGCGTGGTGCAGCCGGGCGTGCTCAGCGACGCCATCGAGGAGAAGTTGCTGACACCCCAGCAGGCCCTGCCCCGGCGGGGCGCCACGGACAGGACCACCCAGAGTAGTGCGGCGAAGGGCCCAACCCCAGGCGGCGGATCGCAGCACGGGGAGGCGCAGTCTTTGAGTACGCCGCGCCGCAGGAGGGGCACCATGTGGGGCACGATCCGTGTGAGGGGCCCGTCGACCTGAGCCGAGGACACCGTGCGATCACCCCCACTGGGGGCGTGGGTGGAGCTTCTCGATGGGCATGATGGGGGGCACGATGCGTGTGAGTGCTGTGGCACATTTCGGTGAGGACGCCATGCTTGGGCACCCATCATGCGGCCGTGGTTGGTGCCTGGGCACGACTGGGGTGGGGGCATTCAGGCGGGGGGCGTCTCGATCCGAGTACGTATGGGGTGGTTCGAAGTAGGCGAGGTGCCACCACAAGAGACGAGGCGAGGCCACAGGAGCCCCCCGTTGGGGCCGTGGGGCTCTCGATGAGACCCGATCCGCGAGGACGGGTGGACCGCATACTCGCATGATCCGCGCGAGGCATATGCCGACATGCGCCTGGGCACCGCGAATTCGCACCTCCGCTGGCGCAGGAGGTGGAGTTCCCCACGTGGCACGATCCATGTTGGGGGTGTGCCAGAATGTGCGGGGGGATCTCCATGTGGAGCCCGATCTATGCGAGGGGGGTGCCGACATGGGCCGGGCGACGCCGCGGGAACGTCCCCACTGCGCCCGTAGGTTTAGCTCCTATGGGGTACGCTGATCCGCGCGAGGGGCGTGTCAAATGTGCGGGGCGACACCATGGGAACGCCCTGCCTGGCGCCGTAGGTGGAGCTCCCCATGGGGACCGATCCACATCATGGGCGTGCCGAAACGAGATGGGCGAACCCATGATGGCCATACGTGTGCCGTAGGTGGAGCTCCTTACGGGGCACGAACCGTGTGATGGGAAGGTCGAAACGGACACACGGGCAGCACGAGGGGCAATAGCAGGAGTGGTTGACAGCTCAGCAGCAGCAGCAGCAGCAGCAGCAGCAGCAGCAGCAGCAGCAGCTGGTAGCTGGCAGCGCAGCAATCGCGAGAGCAGCCGCTGCAAGAAGCTGCAATAGGCTACTGCAGCCGCTGCTATGGGCAGCGGCAGCCAACAGCAGCAGTGGCCCAGCAGCGGCATGCCAGGAGGCAGCGGCAGCGGCAGCGGCAGAAAGAGGACGAGCGAGCGGGAGGCGGAGGAGGAAGGAGGCGCGCGGCGCAGCGGAGATACAGCGAAGACCCAGTGTACACGGGAATGGCTGGGAATAGCTTCGAGCGCCGGACCTTCAGCATGCGGGCGCCGACCGAAACCTCGCTCGACGTTCATCATGCTTGGGGGGTGCCGTGGCCGACGCGGCGGGGGAAACGCGCTGGGCCACGTGGCGGGCCCCAAAGCCTCGCGTCCTCCGCCGTCGCCGCTGCGAGAAAAGAGGCCGACGTCGAAAACCTACTCCAGATTTCGTAATAAAGGGAGGGGGGTCTCATTTCGGGGGGGGGTCTCTTCCAGGCTATCTTGGAGGGCCTGGGGGGGTCTGGGGACGATATTTTGGAGGGTTCTCCCACGGGGGAGGTCTGAAATGGCTTGTCTTGGAGGGTCCAGACCCCCTCCCTTTCATTACGACATCTGGAGTATTCCCGCGCGCATGGCTTTCAGATGGTCTCGGGCCAGGCCCGCCTCCGGCAGCTGTGCGCCCCTGCCCACGCCCCTGTCAGCGGGCTGCCCCGCCACAGCGTTCTGCGCCGGACACGGCTGGAGAGCGAGGCGTGCGTGTGGCAGCCTGACCACCTTGCACAGCGCCTTCCAACACATTTGCGTCCTCGTGCTGATGCTCCTCCTCGTCATCCCTCCATTTCCCCTTCCCCCCACCTCCCCAGTAGTCTCCGACGTTCTCCAGAGCCAGAGGCTTCCAGAAATCCAATGGAAAGGAACATAGCAATAAAAAACGATCGAACGCCGAGGGCGAGCTTTAGCATTTCCTCCTCCTCCTCCTTCTCCTCCTCCTCCTCATCATGCTTCTTCTATTCTCTGTGAGCAAGCTCCTGCTGTCTCCGCAGCTTCTCTGCCCAAGTGCCCCCCCGTCGGCCGCGCGTGCGGACGCCTTATGCAGGCGGTCGCACAAGCGGCTCTCGGGGGCGCTGGGGAGATCTTCTTCAGGGGGCTGCGGGCCGCGCTCTACGAGCGGCTCGTGTCTGCCCCCCACTCTGTGCTTCAGGACCAAGGGCCTCCTGCGCCTGCCTGGTCCATCCAGCAGGCGGACTCGTCCGAGGGTGAGGGGGCTTACTGCCCCCTCCCTTCGGCGGGTTCCGCCTGCCCCACCGTCTGCCTTGGGCTGGCGGTGGATCTGAGCGGCGGGGTCTCTCCCTGGCTGCTCAGCACGGTCGTCGCCCTCCTTTGGGTGACGGCCGCGTGCAGCGCCTGCGCAGGCTGCTGCTTCGGGCTGCTGGGCCCGTACGTGTGGCGGAGGCTCAGGGCCTCCGCCTGGCCGCGCGGTGCGGTTCCTGCTTCCCCTGAGCAGGACCGCCGGGCGGCGCGAGCGCTGGCTTACGGGGTTCCGCCTCGGCCTCGAGCGCTCGAGCGGGCAGGCGCCCAGCATTCGGGCGGCAGTTCCCACGACAGCGCCCATTGATGGCTGAGCTGCCACCAGTTGGCGGAGGGCCTCTATGGCCCGAGCTCTACCCATTCGCGGCTCCCACGGCTCGCGATTACGCACGATGGCGCCTAGACGACGGCGACACCAGCTGGGCAGCTATCCCCCTCGCGTCTCGAGAAGGGGGCATCCTTCTGGCCCTGCCTGGCGCCTTTCGCTCTACGGCGGAGCTCGTGGCTGCCGAGGCGGATGGCTTTGCAGGAATGATGGGCCCTTTCCAGCTAGTGGACGTCCAGCTCCAGGGGGCCGCTTCACGGCCGCTCGCCACTACTGCATCCGTCCTCGTAGTAGACATCGAGGTTGCAGAGCTCGAGCTCGAGTCGCTTTACCCTCTAGAGGTCGGGGAGGACGCAGTCATCGTTCCCTTCGCCGAGGTGCGGGGCCGCGTCTATTGGCCACATCCTTCGGGGGTTCGGGTGCTTCGCGAGGGCTTCGCACGCTTGCACGGCGCCCCGCCTACTGCAGGAGAAGAGCCGCTCCCAGGGGCCGGTCGGGCTACTCCCTATCACTCTGCCGACGAGATGGAGGAACCCGAGGGGTTCGCGGCCGACGGGGAAGCCGACCGCACGGCCCCAAGTGCGCGATCTCCCGCGGACGCTGGAGCGCCGCGCGGCCCGCCCGCGAAGCGCGCGGGCACCGCCGCGCCGCCACGGGTTGCGGGTCCCGCTCCGATCGCTCCTGGTGCCCCTGCAGCGTCTCTGGACGACGGGGCTCCTATGACCCGTGCCGAAGTAGCTGCCGAAATGCGCGCCTTGCTTGCAGCCCACGCGGCCTCCACGATGGTCGGCAGACCCGAGCCGCTGGGCCCCGCGCCGGCTGCCCGGAGCGATCGGCCCGAGGTGCCTCAGCTTTTCAGCGACGAAGCGGCGCGCCTCGGGCTGGATCCTGCGGGGATCGAGGCCGTCCTGTCTCACGCGCCCGTGGCCCCACAGCGGGTCTCCGCGCGTCCCAAGGGTCCGACCTCCGCGCTGGTCTCGGCGCGGGAAAAGGCGCGCTCTCTTGCTGTCCCTCGGGCCCCTTCGTCCGGTTTCGGGCCGATGGGTCCCCCGCCGCCACCTGGGCTAGCCCATCCCGCTGCGGTCGACGGCTTTGCCGAGGCGGGCGGCGCCGACGGGTCAGAGCCGCCCCATGCGGCCAATCCGACGGACTTCAGCCTCATGCTACAGTGCCTGCACCAGTCCCTCCTATTGCAGCAGGGGCGGGGCCAACGCCCAACCGTCCATCCGCTTCTGGGGACCCTGAGCGACTCAGCTCAAATTCCGCCCACGAGCTCGGGCGACCCCGCGCCCGCATCGGCCCAGATGGGGGGCATTGCTCGGAGGCGCGAGTGGCAGCAAGCGCTGCTACAGCACGGCCCCGATGTGCGAGGACTGAGGAAGGAGAATTTGGCCCGTGTCCTGGGCGTGGAAGTCAGCGCCGTGACCCCCATGGCCATGCATCAGTATTTTCGGGAGCACAGTCCCTTGGGGGCTCAGCCGACGACGCACGAGTTGTTGACGCATTTCGCCTTCCTCAGCGCCGAGCTGTGGCGGGCCTGCGAAGAGGGCAACCCCGAGAGAGTCCAGACTTTACTGACGTGTCAGTGCATGTTCATCGACCAGCTGGCGGGGGACCGCGGCTATCTCGAGGCCGCCTGGTTCCTTACGGGGCTGGAGCCTCCCCCGTGTCGCGTGACCAGTCGTCACACGGAGCGCGAGGCCCAGACCCCGTTCTCACCCCTGGTGGATCCTCGCTGGCTGTCGGCGCAGGGCGAATACGTGAAGGAGCTGCAAGCATTTCGGGCGCGTCTCGACGCCGAGCGCGCCGTCGCGCTTCCCAAGCATCCACCTCATCAGCCCAAGCAGCCCAAGGTTTCGAAGCCCCCCGTCAAGTCCCAGGGTGCGTCCAAGGCACCGAAGGCGGGGCCCAAGAAGGACTGAGGGCGCCTTTGGCGCCCGCCTCCTGGAAGGGTGGGCCTTCGCGGGGCCGGGGTACGCCGCCGCGCACAGTCTGCACCGACGCTGTTGCGGCTGCTAGGCGCGTTTGGGCTCAGCGAGGGCGCGAGGGTAGGAATGCGCTCTTCCAGCGATGCTGTTGCGGCCCCGCAGGGAGGAGTACGTTCCGCCACCACGCCCTTCGCTCTGCTCCGAACCGCTTCTCGGATCCCTTCGGCCATTTTGGCCGGCGCCTGCCTCAGTCGCGCGCGCCCTCCAGGGGGCCTGCAGCTCCTGATGTTGGTGTCCCTGCTGGTGCCTGTTCTCCTTCAAGCACCCCTGCTGCACTTGCCAAAGTCGCGCCATTCGTCGCTGACTTGTCTGCCTTGCTGCGCCTGTTTCCAGGCGCGAACATTGATATCACCCACTGGGCGGC